TTACAATAAATTCATCAAAGACAACACTGGCTTTTTTGTTACTTTTGCACATGTTTAACTGACAATCTTTCAAATAAGTTTTTGACATTCAAAGTCCATATTGAGCTTTTTTAAAAGATTTTAAATATAATATATAATATACGGTATATATTCATCGCAATCTTGTCATTTGCCTCTTGCTTGCCAGGATAGTCTCTGACTCCCCCACGACCCTGAATTGGATGAAGTGGCTAGAAAATGGGTGAATTATTTTTGTTACACCACTTTTGGTAGTATCCACAGTTTCAGCCTTCGTCCTGAGATCTAAACCGTGATATTTCTTGCAAGTGCGTCAGTCATCCTTCAGATGTGTCAAATTGTTTAAAGCATGCTTAAAATGTGTTCAGACGCATCGCGTAGCTCTTTCCAGCATCAAACCAAATATTAAACAGTTCTTTTAATCAAAACAAACTCTTGGAAATTAAAGGTATAAAACAGTCAAGTGCTTCTCATTGAAACTGCAGTCTAAGTTTCAGTTTGGAACAAATGCTATTTCTTGCAATATTAGTGTTGATTATTTTAAAAATATTTTGTGTGCCTCAAACTTTTCACAGAAAGATTGGGAAGCACTGTTGTAAGAGAATGCTGTTATAAGAATTGTAGATGTAGCACCTGACTCATAATTCCAGCATATAATCAAAAATGCTTCCTGTAATTTGCCAATCAAGACAAAAGAAGCAATTTTGATATGGATCTGAATCAATCAATCACCTTTATTCGAGCATGCACTAACCAGACTAGACATTTACTAACGGCAGGGTTCTGCATCTAAAACAAGTCACCACGCAACTTTTGTCGATAAATAAGCTGCCAGCCTTATTTATGGCAAGCAATCTGGAAAAGTACTAATTTGGTGGTTGTAGTTTGAAACCCAGACTGGGAATCTTAGAAAATCCCTGTAATTGGGTCATAGTAGGTTCGGTTTTATGACGAGCTTTTGCACGTCTCTTTTTTAAGTCTCTCTCAGTTTGCACAGTGAGTGTGTAGCGTCCCAGTGGAGGTGCTTTGTGCCGCTCTGTAGGTATCATCCTGCTGAGGCTCTGAGAGTGAGTTTTCCTCTGCTTCCCACACTCTCTCCATTCACTGAGTCCAGAGGGGAGACAATAGAAGTGTGTCTTATTACACATCACATTAGCGACGGTGTTTGATCTCCTGTATGGGGGAAAGTGAGCCCTTTTCCCAGCAGACCATCTGGATACCACAGAGAGATACAAGTCTGAGCAAACATCTGAAACTCTTACTTTTACACTAATCTTACAAACTGCACTCTTTAGACCCAGTGTGCTAAACGTTTATTTAATATTCGTTTTATAGCCACACAATCCTTATTTAGCTATTTCCCCTCCTTGTGTAAAAACGTGTTCAGAGTATCATGTTTTTGAGCAAACTAAATGACCATTTCTAAGTGTAGTAATTTGAAGTAGGGGAGACTGCTTTAATGGTTCGAACTTTATTTCAGCTTTCAATGTTTTGTGATTGAAAAGTTATTTAAGCATAGGTGAAATACATATCTAAAATTGTATGCTCACTGCCAACCTTTTTATGCAGTCAAAAAAAAAGCAAGTGCTAAAAGACATGCTAGTAATCTGTTTAAAAGTTGCATATAATCAAGAAGTGTGTAGCAGAGACATGATTGTCATTTATGTTGGCATCTATGTTAATTTATTTATTTGATCTCTTTTATAGCCACTGTCAGTCCTGAATAACCTACCTACCCCCAAGTAAAAAAAAAACTACAATAGTTGTCATGATGTCATTTGATTGGAATGTGTGCAACTTTCCACAAATCTTTGTGATGTTATAAATTGCACAATTATCTGTAGCTTTTTGAGCAAAAGTGTTACTTATTGAAAATGTCTTCTTTTATCTCTGATATATTTAGCAATTTGTGCTTTACTCTATTTATTCTAACTGGACTGTCGATTTTTATCTGCAAATCAGGTAAACATCAACAAGTCCATCAACCCTTTTCCAGGAAAGTGGTTTGCATTCACAATATCCCACATACTCCTGCTTTTTAGCTACAAAGAAGCCATTGTCCCAGGGCTATATGCTGTCAATTTAACTAAATGTCTCCCCATGATCTCTGTAAATACTCTGATTGACTGCTCAGTGTGGGAAACTGCAGCTCTCTGTGGACTTTCAAACTGAATGGAGATCATACTTTTGCCTTCATACCTGAGGCCACTTAGTCTGATGATTCATGTTATTGTGCTTTTTTTCACCATGTTGCAAAAATGTGGACGAGGAAGAAAAAAATAATTATTGTAAGCATGCAAACCATTTAAAACCATGTAGTGATTAAGCCTGTTAATTCCTGTGACACTGAATGCTTTTAAACATAGTGTCAAGTATAATTTGAAATGACTGTGTTTGCTAAACTGAAAAAGCAATGTAGTTGTCACTATAAGCGTTTAAAGAGATGAGTGTTTCTTCACAAAGTTTATTTAGTTTTGGTATAGTGCACAGTGTAATATAATAATACATGATAGTATTAAAGATGATATTTTAACATTAAAGATAGTGTTGGCTAGGCCTGAAATGACACTTGTTATATAAACCACTTTTGTTTTTATATGAAAAGGAAATTCTTCTTTGGAGAAATATTCCTAAATATTTCAGTTACATTTTTGTTCCTGAGTTAAAATATTTCCCTCATCCTAAATAAAGGCCTGAGGTATTAAATCAGTCTTTATGGTGCACTTTTCAATTTTTAGAAAAGAAATGGATTGAAAATTTTGCAGGATTTACAGAACAGGTCTTGTTCTAGTTTTCAAAACCAGCAATAATCCACCCAGGAAATAAATATGATTGTTTTACATGTTGTAAAAATTGAGAAAAGACTGTCAATGAGCCTTGAACTGTATTTACATGACATTTATTTTTTCAGAAATGAAATACATATCCATTAAAACACTATGACAGTGATTAAATTGACTTTAGGACTGTACCATTAGGACAGATGTTATTATTACTGTATTCTTCTATCATAATAGAAACATCACAAAATGCATAATTGCATTAATAATTACTCTGCAGTTGGGCTTTTGGTAAAACAAGGTTTTAACATTCTATACCAAAGCTCATAAAACATTTAGGCAAAACATTTCACTTTAAGCATGTTCACAAAAAGTATACACATCTGAAACATTTTGAATGTAACTGTAAGCACTGTATTATTTTTTCACAAAATAGTGAAAAAAGTCAGAAATGCAAGTGGTTATTGTTACAAGATACAGATTTCTTTTTTCAAAGAACATAAAAAATATTATATACATTATAAAAATCCATCTTCAAATATGAAGATAAACCATACTTTCTATCTTTGTATGACAAAATACAGTAAGGGATTTGTCCCTAACAGGATGCATATTCATAGACAGCATATCATTGCTGTTTGACATGATTCAGCCAGATGTCTAAATCATTTTAGAATGATACCACTTACTTATAAAGTAATTACATATGCTCAAACTAGAGCGAACACCATTTTGAAAGAAAAAACTTTTCCCTCCAAACCTTAAAATTAAACAACTCAATGTTGCAACACACTCCTTGTTTGACAAGAAAAAAATAATTGCCTATATTCTCCACAGAAGAAGTTAAGAAATTAATTTGACTAACAGACTGTATCACCTAATCGATCACAGGAAATTACAAGTACCATAAACTTAAGTTTCCTGAACTTGGAAACTTTACATTTTTTCAATTAGGTTGAAAACAGCTTCTGCACATGGAAACATATGGCCCATGCTCATCTTAGACCAGTCTGTTCAATTTAGTGTGGTGTTTGTCTGCAGTGCTCTACCAGGGCCGCCAGAGGGCACTCTTTCCCAGAGGCTTTTCTGTGATGGTGGTGTGATGGACTGGGGAGCTCAGCTGAGGCAGGACACTCTGACAGCTGCTCTTATCCAAGGAAAGCTGTGCATTCTGGAAATGGTTCAGCAGTCTTCCCTGGGACTCCACCTTCGTCCCATCCTGGGAGAGGAAGCGCTTGATTTCTTGGACACACCTGGAGTAGCCTTCACTTTCAGCTGAGGGCCCAGAGGGGGCGCTCACGGGCTGGCGCTGGCTGTGCCGCCTCAGGTAGCAGACCGTCATTTCCAGGATGTCGGCTTTTTCCAGCTTGGAATCCGGCTGCTGGTCCAGGAGCTGCCTGAGCTGCTCGATGCTGCTGTTGATGCGATCTCGGCGCATCTTCTCCACTATCGGCTTTCTCAGCTGCAAAACAAGGACAAGACACCTGTCAATCACCTGGCTCTGGGATCCAACACTGCTTACAGAATTAAAATGGATATTTTTAAAAAGCACTGTAACATCTAAGCTTCACAACTCACCTTGATGGCCAGAGTCATGTGCTCCTTCGAATAGCCCATTGCTGCAGTGACTGTAGGTGCCATGGCTGTATCTGTGTGCTGGAGCGCTCTCTGTAGAGGGAGTCTGAGAGTCTGACTTGTGCTGGTTCATCTCTCCTATTTATAGTCCACAATCTCCATACGAATGTGTGGGTCTGGGGCTTGTTGGAGTTTCTCACAGTCCGTAGCCAATGGACGAGCTCGGGGGACAATGGGGAAGCTGGGATTGCCACATGCTCAGTCAAGTTGAGCATTAATGCTCAACTAAATTGCTTCATTAATGTTCAGGTTAGTAATTTGTATTGAGTACAGTGTCATGCAATACAGGAGTTGACAAAAATAAGATTTTTAATTTTGCCTGCTGTCTAGTTTTTTTTTCCATTTTCAACAAAATACTGTCAAATAGTATCTGTTAGATACGTGACTAAATTAATCCTAATTAAAAAGATTATGATTTTGGCAAGAAGGATACGCTTATACTGGAAATGTAGATAATGGCTAATACGTCTCATGATTTAAAAGTGGAGATGTATTCCAATGTGTCTAAGCGACTTCAACCTTTCAGGAATTTGAGTTAGGCAAAGTCTGATTTTATTGCAATCATGATTGTTCTTAAACACTGTAGCTGAGGATCACCAGTGATTGATGGAAACACACTGATAAAAGCTCTCTTCTGTCGATGGAAAGTGCAGTGTGTCCAGATGTCACAGATGTGTCTCCAGCCTTGTGCTGTGAGCAGAAAGTCGCTCAGGGTTTCATCACATTAGTGACGGCAATTGGCCCTGTATTGTGGGAGATCCATAGTCTGACATCACAGACCATCTGGAGGAAGAGGTGATCAATGACTGATAGGGTTTAGTTAGGGTTTTTTTCTTTCATTTCTCATAAGAAGCATATATTGTTGTACAATATGGATAGATATACTTCATAGGTATTCCTCATAACACATTTTTTTATTATTGAAGAAGTGTCACAAAATTTAATTACAAATTCAGTGCAGAACATGTAGTAATTTAGAAAGTATGAATTTGTTTTGGTGCTGACTGAACCTATTGTCAAATAACCATTATTACGTGTATTATTATTATTGCTTCATATGATCATACTGTTGAGCTCACCACCATACTT